TACTGAAGTTAAAAACATATTTATTGATGTTTGTTGCATTTTATTCCATCAGAACTTCTCAGCACCTTTTTCAAAATATTAATTGGCTGAGAGTAATATGTTTGAAGCAAGAGGCTGTCAGAAGGGAAGAATAATGGACCATGACTTAGCTGTTTTTATTTGAGATTTATTATATTTCCAGAGATTCTGCCTTGATTGAAGCCATTGATGACTATGAGCAACTGAGAATATATTTTTAAACACAAATTCTGCACTGTTTACTGTGAAGGTAATGTGAAGAGCCAGTGCTCTGGTATGGTATACCATACCATACCAAAGATGGTAACTGATCTTGTCAGAATAGATTCATTTAATTAATAGGGTAGCTTTTATAATTAAAGTGTAATCAGAAGAGTCATGGATGAGTGTGATGGTGACATAGGCTTCTCAGGTGGCACAGTGGTAAAGAATCTGCCTGCAATGCAGGAGATGTGGGTTCGACCCCTGGGTCGAAAGATTCCCTGGAGAAGGAAATGGCAACTCATTTCAATATTCTTGCCTGGGAAATCCCATGGACAGAGGAGTCTGGCGGGCTGCAGTCCATGGGGTCGTAAAGAGTTGGATGTGACTTGGCGACTAAGCATGCACGCCTGCACACATGCTGGTGACATGCCTTGGTGTTTCATGGCAAATGCGGCAAGTGCTGTCATGGATGTACATCGTCCTGAGGGTCCCTCGTTGTAGCACCAGTGGGTCCCTCATTGTAGCACCAGTGGGTGCCTAGGAGCTCGAGTCTGGCCGCGTCTCCTTGACCCGCAGACGCTTGGGCCTTCAGTGTGCTTCTCTGAGAGTGTGTTGCTGTATTTGGATTTGAGTTTGCTGTAGTCCTATAATATTGTGACAGTTTCTGGATTTTTTTCTTCTTTTTATGGCCAGATATTTCATTCTCAGTGTTTTGAAATGTTTGATCAAGAATTTAGGACATATTCATGGCTCATTTTATAAGGAAGGGAGCATACTCTTAAGATATGGGGAGAGAGCTCATTGGGGAACCTAAGGACGTGAACCTCTGGCCCTGGAAAACAATGCTTCTCAAACACTCCATTGTCGTGTGGAAACAAAGCACAGTACTGTACACGTCTTCCCGTTCCCCCAACTGCTGCTTGTCTTCATCCTCGATGAGGTTTGTCTCAACAAGGTTTTCATTCCAAAGTCAGTATGTTCAAAAATAACTAATTTTTTTCATATTATTCATATCTGAACAGCATCACTAGGGTGGATTTTCTATACTGTGGCCTGGCAACATTTCAGGTTGTCTTAACTTATTGGAGTGTAAGGTTTTAGTGTCAGAGAGGAGGTGACAGAAGAATTCCTAACTTGAAAACTGTCTCATGATGGATTATGCAGTTTCGTAGGTGAAATTACACATATGTTCAGATCATATTTAAATTTATTCAGGTATTTTATACATAGTGTGTGGACTTCTAATCATCCATCATTCTTATTCTTAGAGAAGAAACTTCTAAAAGACAAATAGAATTCCACGGTTAAAAATCAGAACACATTTGAGTACCGCAGAAGAGGGATTAGGAATCATAAGGAAAGCATATCTGTAGTGTTTGTGGGCATGAGTATAGTTCAAGGAATGTAATGAAGTCATCTTGCCAGAATAGTGCTTTAAATGTTAGGCAGCCTTTTCTTGTTGGGGCGGGGGCGGGGGGTGGATGGAATTGGAGATGGGGTTAAGGCAAATTGTCAAATTTCTATTAAATTTTCACATGCCAAAAAAAAAAAAGGCCACCTGATAGTTAAACTCTGTGTACTTCTCAAGGATAACTTCTCATAATATTCTTTAAGAGAACAGGACAGAGTAATAATTTTTATTCAGAATGACTTGCCCAAGGTCATATCACCAAACTCAGTGATACAAGGTATTAAGATACAGGTCACATATTATAGCTTTTCCCTGAAACAGTGTTATTGCAGTTGTCTCTAGGGTGCCAGGCATACAGATCACATATTATAGCTTTTCCCTGAAACAGTGTTATTGCAGTTGTCTCTAGGGTGCCAGGCAGAACATACCAAACTCGAAAGTCAGGCAGCGGACTAAGGTAAACAGTTTCCCCTACAATCTGTTCTCTATGCAGCTGTCAAAGTGATCTTTGAAAAACATACATCATATCATATCACTCCATTGCTTAAAACCTCATGGGGCATCCAGTGTTTCATAGAATGTACTTCGCTACCCTCTTCCTCTGCTCCCTGCCCAGCCTGGTCTTTAATTCCTTGAAGATATCAAGCTCATTCCCACCTCATGGCCTTTGAACTTGTACATGCTGTTTCCTCTGCCTGGCAGACTGCTGCTTGTCTTATTCAGGTAGCGTCAGATTGTGTAGTGGTTAGAAGCATGGGTTCTGAAACCTGATTGCCTGCGTTCAAGTTACTATCTGACCTCTCAGTGCCTTCATTTCCTGAGCTGTAAAAAATTGGGTAATATAAGTAAATACCTCTTAATATTGTGAAAGTTGAATACACACATATGAAGTGTCTCACACAGGTAAGTGCTCATTAAGTGTTGGCTATTATTCAAGTCTCAGCTCAGAGATTATCTCCTCAGTGAGACCTTTCTTGAACATATAATTTAAATGAGCCATCCCACACCCCCCGTAAAAGTTACAGTTACCTGAAATTATTTTACTGTGTATTTATTTTTGTGTGTGTGTCTCTTTCATTGTAATGTAAGCTCCGTGAAAGAAGGAATATTTTCTCTTGCACTCCCAGTGCCTAGAATAATGCCTGATATTCAGTATATATTTGTTGGGTGAATTGATGGAAGTCAGATCATCCCAGAAGGTCCTCTTAGTGACATTAAGACTGAAGGCAGTTAGTCTCATGCAGTGAAGGGTGTGCCCATGTGTACCCAGCACCTTTAGGTTGTGGTCTAGGCTGTGGATATCTGGCAGGGGCATGCAGAGAGGTAATACAAAGAAAAAGAGTTGAACCTGCAGATAAAATACATATTTTACTTTTCTTGATTCTCAATGTTTTTATTTATTTCTCCTGCTTCCAGCTGGTAAGTTCATGTCCTTTTTTATAAGCCCTTGAGCTTACTTGTGTCTTTAAGTTTGGGGACAGCTGGTTGCCCCTCAGCATTATAAAGTTACAGCTTTATTGAGCTTCGTCTAAAATAGTGTGAGTAGAAAGTACCGATATGTAATTAGATACTCAGCTGTATATGATAATTTTAGGAATCAGAGGGATGGTCAAAAACTCAAAGTAGGCAATCTGAGACTAGGCATTCCTGAGTTACCAACAGAGTCAGGTATGATAACAATTTATCATTCCCTTGTGTCTGTGCCTCTGCCTTTTCCTCTTACTGTCTTTTTTTTTTTTCCTGTTTTATTTCTTATATTCCTTTTTGTTTCTGTCCTTCTACTCATGTCCATGTTTTCCATATGTATATGAGTGAAAATGTTAGTCACTCAGTCGTGTCCAACTCTTTGTGACCCCGTGGGCTGTGTAGCTCACCAGGCTCTTCTGTCCATGGAATTCTCTTGGCAAGAATACTGGAGTAGCAAATGAAACAACTGACAAAGGATTAATTTCCAAAATATACAAGCAGCTCATACAACTCAATACCAGAAAAACAAACAACCCAGTCAAAAAGTAGGAAAATGACCTAAACAGACATTTCTCCAAAGAAGACATACAGATGGCTAACAAACACATGAAAAGATGCTCAGCATTGCTCATTATTAGAGAAATACAAATCAAAACTACAGTGAGGTGTTGCCTGACACCAGTCAGAATGGCCATCATCAAAAAGTCTAGAAATGATTAATGCTGGAGAGGGTGTGGAGAAAAGGGAATGCTCTTGCACTGTTGATGGGAATGTAAATTGATACAGCTACTATGGAAGACGGTATGGAGATTCCTTAAAAAACTAGGAATAAAACCACCATATAACCCAGCAATCCCACTCCTAGGCATATACCCTGAGGAAACCAAAATTGAAAAAGACACATGCATCACATTGTTCATTGCAGCACTATTTACAGTAGCTAGAACATGGAAGCAACCTAGATGTCCATCAGCAGATGGATGGATAAAGAAGTTGTGGTACATAGACACAACGGAATATTACTCAGCCATAAAAAAGAACACATTTGAGTCAGTTCTAATGAAGTGGATGAACCTAGAACCTATTATGCAGAATGAAGTAAGTCAGAAAGAGAAAGATAAATACTGTATTCTAATGCATATATATGGAATCTAGAAAAACGGTACTGAAGAATTTATTTACAGGGCAGCAGTGGAGAAACAGACATGGAGAATACACTTATGGACATGGGGAGAGGGGAGGAGAGGGTGAGATGTATGAAAGAGTAACATGGAAACATACATTGCCATGTATAAAATAGATAGCCAGCAGGAATTTGCTGTATGGCTTGGGAAACTCAAACAGGGTCTCTGTATCAACCTAGAGGGGTGGGAGGGGAAGGGAGATGGGAGGGAGGTTCAAAAGGGAGGGGATATATGGTTACCTATGTCTGATTCGTGTTGGGGCTTGACAGAAAACAACAAAATTCTGTAAAGCAGTTATCCTTCAATTAAGAAATAAATTTTAAAGAAGTTAAAAAAAAAAAAATACTGGAGTGGATTGCCATGCCCTTCTCCAGGGGATCTTTCTGACACAGGAATTGAACCTGGGTCTCCCTCATTGCAGGCAGATTCTTTACTGTCTTAACCACCAGGGGGCTGAAATGATGTTTCTATTATCTGACTTTGGCTCCTGCATCCAGTACCCAAAATCGCATTCATTATCCCCTCAGGTAAAGGTCCTCCTCCTCTCTTCCCTGTTTCTATTAGTAGAATTCGTGTTCTGCGGTCATTCTGGCTTAAAACCTCAGTATCATCTTTGATACCTCCTTTTCTTTCCCCATAACCAGATACAAGCCAGTTGTATCACTTATAAATTCTCTCTTACTCATTCCACATTAACTCAGCAAAGATTTGACTTTATGCTCTGTGCTAGGTATGGCTCCATGTTGTGTGTGACAGTTCCTGTCTTTCTGCATTTACTGCTGCAATTCAGGATTTCAGTAAGTTATACTTTGCCTAATGAAAGTAGCTTTGTCACTTTTTTCCCAACCTCATTGTCCTTTTTGCCAATCTAGTATTTATTCCACTGCCAGATTAATCCTCCAAAACATGGTTTGATTATGCTGTTCCATACTTTAAATTTTTATTTTATTTTATATTGAACTGTAGTTGATTTTAGAGTGAAGCTCAGCTTGCTATCCCAGGCACATCTCATGTGACTTGTATGCTATTGCCCTTTTTGAACATCTTTTACACCTTTTCACACCCTTGTTTTTGTTTAGGCTGTTTTGTCTCCTGGAAGACTGTAAGCTCCTGAGGTCAGGAATTTGTTTTATTCACTGTAGCATCCCTCAGCACCCAGAAGAATACCTGGCGTGTAGTAGGTACTCAGTAGATATTTATTGAGAGAATGAATAAAAAATAAGTGAATCTTGTCAGTAGTACCCATTTAAAAGTGTTTATTGACATGTAGTCGATTTACAATGTTGTGTTAATTTCTGCTTACAGCAAAGTGACTCAATTAATACATATATTCTTCTCCAAATTTTCTTCCATTATGGTTTATCACAGGATACTGAATATAGTTCCCTGTGGTATGCAGTAGAACCTTGTTGTTTATCCATTCTCTGTATAGTCCCACACTCCCAATACTTCCCTCCCCCATGCCTCCCTCCCTGTGGACAACCACAAGTCTGTTCTTTATGTGCGTGAGCCTGTTTCTGTGTTGTGTGTGCACGCATGCTAAGTTGCTTCAGTCATGTCTGACTCATGGCAACCCTATGGGCTGTAGCCTGCCAGGTTCCTCTGTCCATGGGATTCTCCAGATAAGAACACTGGAGTGGGTTGCCATGTCCTCCTCCAGGGGATCTTCCCGACCCAGGGATTGGACTCATGTCTCTTACATCTCCTGCATTGGCAGATGGATTCTTTACCACTAGTGCCACTTGGGAAGCCCCATTCTGTTCTATAATACTGTCCATTTTTTATGAGTGTTCTCAAACTTTAGTGTCTTAGGAACCTTTTCTGATCTTATATGTATTTTTATTTAAACATAAATACCTACCTGTGACAGAACCTTTTTCTTTTTTTTGTCTGTATCAGTGCTGACTGTGTATATGTCATGTGGTTTCCATGAGGTTAATATAGTCAGTAGACGAGCAAATGTTCATTGAGTTCCTATTCCGTGTCAAGTATAATATCCAGCTACTTGAGTAAAAAAGACAATAGGACAGAATCTCTTTCCTCAGTGCACTTAACTGCCTAGTGGAGGATCAGTCTGTTTTAATAGTAGTAAAAGTGAGAAGCAAGCCCGGGATCTTATGGAAGCGTAGCCTGTTGGAAAGTGATAATAGGGAGAAGAAGGTGGGGTGCAGAAGAGGCGATTCTAGCAGTCACAAGTAGAAAGCAGCAGCAGATGCTTAGAGGGGAGTAGTGAGAAGTGAAGCAAGTGCTCTGAAGGGCCTTGTACTGCTGTTACTGAAGAGGCAGTTCTGTATTGTTAGCTTTTATATGGTTTGTTGGAATAAGAGGAAAGACTTGGACAGCTGATTCCCCCTTGGGAGAAGCTGAAAACCTGAAGTGAGCAAAAGCTGAAGATCCATGGAAGTTTCTGAAAAAAAAAAAAAAATTACTTGGGTGGTAAAGTTTTTGTTACTTGAAATGCCTTCCTACTTGAGTGATAGGCTATATAAGCAATTCCAGTTTGAAAATAATTTTTTTTCTGAGAATTTGAAAGTATATTCTATTTCAGTTTCCAGTGCTGATGTTAAGAAATCTGATGTCATTTATTGTATCTCCCAATGTTGTAGGTAAGTCATTTGGGCAGGGCTTAGCTTGGGGGATTCTTCTGTTCCACATGGTGGCATTCAGCAAGTGACTGGGCTTGCCTAGTGGGTACAGGAGAGAACCTGCCTGCCACTTTGATGGGGATATCTGGAAGGCTAGTCTTAGCTAGGTTCCTTTTTTTTCCAATGTAGTCCTGAGACCTCTTTTTATGGTCTGTCCATCATAGTAGTTGAGCTTCTGCTATAGGAGTTCAGGGCTTAGACAGTAAGAGTTTTAAAGATTTGGTTTATCTGTTAAAGTAAATTGAGGGGAATAAAAGTAAAAATCTGTACAGCTAAAAAAAAGTTTCATTAATTGATTTTAAAAACCACTTTTTATACAGAGAAACTTTTTTTTGAAAGAAGAACCATATCATTTGGTTGTGTGAAACTCTTTTATGACGGGTCATAACACAAAATCATGATAGTGTATACTTTTTCAGATTTATCATCTGTCTGCGTGAGCTCTCCACTCCTCTGACACATTTCGTGCTGTTGCTTCTAGTTACATATGCCACTCGGCACCAGCAGAAGGCATGTGGCCCACAAAGGGGTTGGGGAGGAGAAAGGGTGAGGCGGAATCAGGCCAGCAGGAGAGGGAAACAGATGGGTTGTGGGAGATGACCCTGCCCCCATGTTGTTTTTGTTCTGGCTGCTACTGATCATATGTGAATCAGCAGCCAAGAAACTGAAGTTGGTGATCCTATGATGAAAAAGAAAGTTTGACTTTGGATTCAGTAGAAGTATAAATTTACACCATTAAAACATGATGCAGATTTTTTTTCTCTTGGTTATTTTAATTACATTTCCTTTGAGATATTTCAGAAGGTATTTTGAGACATAACTTTAACTTTTTTTAATAGCATTATACATATAATCTGAGATAAGTATTACTCAGCTTTTCTTTTTCATGCAAATTGTACAGTAAATACAATTTTAGGAGTATTCAAGAACTGGTAGATTAGACTTAATCTATGATGTCAGTGCCTCAGCATTTTTGGTTCTTGTCTCTAGATTCCCAGTTAACTAGGACTTTCTCCTGTGGGCTATTTAAAAGTGAGTAGAAAGTAGGTATGTTCGCTGGAGAAATCTTCCCAATGTATATATTTCATGCTAAATATTCTCTCTTTTGTCAGTGCTTACACTTGACTTTTGTTTGGCTTATTTTCTAAGGTGAAGATTAAGGAAACCTTGCTTTATGTCTTACCAAGTCTTTACTTTGTTCTATGGAAGACTATTATTTAAAAAAAAATTTTTTTTTAATTATAAGAATGTTAGCAAACATACATCAATATAGAGAGAACAACAATATAATGAATCTCCATATGCCCAATATAAAGCTTCAATAGTTAGCAGTGTTCTGCCACTCTTGTTTCATCTGTTCTGCCTGCCCCTAATGATTTTTTATGGAAGAATTTTATTGTAATACCATTTAATGTTAGCATTTTGAAAGAAATCTTTGAATTAAATTGAAATTAGTTAACTTGAAATCGTTCAGTTAAATACTACTATAGCATGTAGCTTGCCCGGTAAAAATGTGTGGTAAACTATCTATATAGGTATGTAAAATTTTCATGTGACTTCTTCAAGCCCTTAATAATCTTATAAATATGGAACTTAATCCCTTTACCAGCTCAGCTGGAAAAGAATCTGCATGCAATGTGGGAGAACTGGGTTCAATCCCTGGGTTGGGAAGATCCCCTGGAGAAGGGAAAGGCTACCCACTCCAGTATTCTGGCCTGGAGAATTCCATGGACTGTATAGTTCATGGGGTTGCAAAGAGCAGGACATGACTGAGCAGCTTTCACAATCAGATGCTAAACTATTAAAATAAATTCTGAATGGAACACTGAATTAAAGTCCTTCAAACTGCGTTTTCTTTCATTCAGGGTAGTGGCAGGCAGTCATGGTCCAGGTCATTACGGGATTTGATATTCCCTTCTTTAATCATTAAAAATGCACGAGTCTAAAACACATCACTTTTAAACTTCATTTTTCTTCATGCCTGGATTTGACTTGGTTTGGCTTTTTTTGAGGGGCCATATTCTGGTTTCTTTTAAAGAGAAATCTTTTTTTTTTTTTTTAAAGAAGTACTGGTTATGTGTATTAAGTGCATACCAGAATTACAGACTCATGCAGTTTAATTTCATTTGCTTTGTTAAAAAAATCAGGATATCATGTGATGGGTGGATCTCTATTGTCTTTTGGGAGCAGTAACACATGTGAATGTCAGATCTCTGAATCTTAGCAATAATAATTTTCTAATTCAGAGTAATAGGAGAAAGCTTGTTCTGAATTACTGAAAAATAAATTTAAGGACACTTTAAAGAACAGACACTTTATTCTTTCAAACTCAGTGACTAATATGGGTTAGTTTAGTAAATTATTTCTTAAGCAGAGATCTTGCCAAGCTATTTCAAAATTATTGTGGTAAAAAACATGATACTGAAGTTACCATCTTAATCATTTTTAAGTGGATAGCTCAGGAGTGTTAAGTATATTCACATTATTGTCCAACAGACCTCTAGAATTTTTGTATCTTACAAAGCTGAAACTCCACATTGAGAAACACTATTGCCAGGCCATTTTAAATGCAAAAATAGCTCATTTGAAATGAGAAATACACATTTACATATAAACATTGACTGTGTTATATGTTAATCTCTTTTGTAATTGTGTTAAGAATTATACATTATGAGGCAGTATTTTAGTTTTTCTCTTAATCTGGTAAACATTATAAAATTACTGGCATTCTTTTATCCTACCCCTCCCTCAAGTAGCATAAAATTTTTCTTAATCTCATACTTGGTTGTAGACTCACAGATATCAGTGAAGTCTGAAATAAGGAGATTTTGCTGTTTTGTTAAGAACTTTTTGTATGAAACTATGATTCTGCCCAGCAGCTTATCTGGAGTACTTGAATAAGGTTTGCTGATTCCTGTTCAGTCTTCTTATATCATTCAGATTTTCCTCAAGACCTGCCTGTCTTGGTCCCCAGATTATCTTTTAAGTGTCTTTCATTTGCTTTTTTCTTATGGACAAGTCTTTATCAAGTGGATGTTAAATGTGCAAATACTATTTGTAGGGTCTGTCTACTCTCTACACACACAGCTGTCACCGTCTCAGTTAAACATTATTTTCTAATGAGAGGTATGAACTCACATAGTCTATAATGTCTTAGCAAATGTCTTTTCCCAGTTTTATTGAGATATAATCGATACATAACACTGTGTAAGTTTAAGGTGTAAAGTGTAAATAATGACTTGACTTACATATACTGTGAAATGTTTACCACAATAAGTTTTGTTAACTTTTACCATCTCATATAAACGAAAAAAATTTTTTTCTCTGTGATGAGAGCTGTTAGGATATACTCCTTTAAAAACTTACAAATATATAGCAGTGTTAGCTCTACTTGTAATTGGAAGTTTGTATTTTTGACAACCTTCATCCAATTCCTCCACCTCCCACCCCCACTACTGGTAACTACAAGTGTGATCTTTTTTTGTGTGAGTTTTTATTTTTGTTTTGTTTTCTGAATTCCATATATTTGTCTTTTTCTGTCGGATTTATTTAACTTAGCACGATGCGTGCAAGGTCTCTCCATATTTTTGCAAATAGCAGTGTTTCCTTCTTTTTGTGGATGAGTAATATTCCAGTGTATATTCACAACCCTAAAGTTGAAGTTTTGGTACTGTCCTTCTCCTGCTTTCCTTAGGACTCATTTGGCGGGGGGGGCGGGGACGGAGAAGAGAGAGTGTGTGTGTGTGTGTTTAAACTCACTTCTCAGTGCCATCATCTATGTGCGTTTGTGTGTCTGTGTGAGCATGCTCATATGTTTCAGGGTGATTGAGGATTCTGTCCTAAGGAGTTTGAGTCTCAAAGGATTACTATCACACCCCGGCCAAGTTTTTTTAATCTAAAATTTCACTGATTTATACTTCAGTGAAATTGAATCCAACTTTACAGAGAAGTTTCAGTGCAGCTCCCTAGCCTGTCAGACTCAAAACCTCCTTTTCTGTCCTCTGTGGACATGAAAACCTAAGCTGTATGGCCACCAAGACCAGCAGCTCCCCCAGAGCCAACCGTGTGCTGCTCTGCATCTTGACTACTTTCGTCTCACCGCTGTGATTCCTAGTTCCTGCCTCATTCCTGGAGCCAGAGGTTTCTCTACTTTCTTGTTAGTTCAGCTGTACATAAAGAAAGAAAGAAAGAAAGTCACGTCACTCAGTCGTGTCCGACTCTTGGTGATCCCATGGACTGTAACCTACCAGGTTCCTCCATTCATGGGATTTTCCAGGCAAGAATACTGGAGTGGGTTGCCGTTTCCTTCTCCAGGAGATCTCCCCGACTCAGGGATTGAACCCGGGTCTCCCACATTGTAGGCAGACGCTTTACCATCTGAGCCACCAGGGAAGCTCTCGTGCATTTAAAACACTTGTTCAGATTTATCCAGCATTTCTAGGTGTTTTATAGCTAGGAAACATTCAGACTACCTGGTCCCTGCCCCATTGCTAGAAATCGAAATCAGCCTCTTCACTCGACAAAATAGACTGGAACCCAAAGATGGGACCTGAGGCCACACAGCATGTCTGAGAAACACCTAGACTTAGACTCTGGGCCTCCTGAGGTTTCTCTCTCCTGCAGGGGATAAGGAAAGATGTGGCTCGCTCATGAACTCGAGCGACTTTGGGCAGACCCTAAGCCCACACCCCACTGCCCAAAGCCTGTCCTGGGGTGGAGAGCACAGGGCCTGGCCCTTGGAGTTTGGGGAAGGGCTGCAGATGCAGGGGTGGTGGAGGGCAGGGGCAGACGGGCTCAGGGAGAGGCTGGGCGCTCAGGCTGCCTGGAGCCAGGCTGCAGCTCTTCCACGTGGTACGCAGAGAGCCGGCCCACACCCCCCCGCACAGAGCTCTTCTCCCCTCAAAGGATTTTTGAATATCATAAAATTGAATTTTTTAGTCTGAAAAAGCTCCTATTAAGGAAAGCAAACATGCTATTAGCAAATAAGTCAGATGGATTAATCATGTATAACAGTTGTTTTCTCCTGGTACACATAGAGACATGGCTTAAATGATGGTAAATCATAGACAAGATGGGCAAAATTCTTTGAAGGTCAGATTTCTGGATTTCCTTGGTAGGCATTTGTTGTTATATAATTCCTACAATTTTTCAAACCCTTTAACAGTTGTTTTTCCAGTGTTTGCCCATATTATCTCTTAGACTGTTGCATTCCTAAAATATATTTTTTCTTTTGAACATCCCTCACTCACTTTCTTTCACCCTTTTTGGAGTAGAGAGTCCTTCTTAATATCCTTGTTCTTCTTAATGTCAACCCCCCCCCCCCCCCAATTGCTCTTACCTGGATCATTTCCTTTCCTTTGTATTTTATGAGGATCAACTAGAACTACAGTTAGCTTTGGGCACAGTGAAAGCTTTACATGAAGGTGGATGTGATGGTCCTTTTAGTTTTCAATGTCTTTCTTCATTTCATGGCTTTCCAATATTTTGGTGATTTCTTCATCTGAAGCACATTAGATGCAAGTCCTCACTAAAGTCTGCAGGGAGCCCCTAGGCCCCCTTTTTAGATTAAGAATTATAGCCTCTTCATTATAAAAACAATATATGTTTTAGAGAAAATTTGGAAACTAAAAGTAAAAATTTTCATAGTCCAACAAACAAAACCCATTTTATGTTTTGGTAAACTTCCTTATGGCTTCAGTTGGTAAAGAATCTGCCTGCAATGTAGGAGACCCTGGTTTGATCCCTTGGTTGGGAAGATCCCCTGGAGAAGGAAATGGCAACCCACTCCAGTATTCTTGCCTGGGAAACCCCATGGACAGAGGAGCCTGGAGGGCTACAGTCCATGGAGTCACAAAGAGTTGAACATGACTGAGTAACTCTTTATGGTCTTTTTTCCCCTGTGTAATATTTTTATATGAGTATGTATTTTTATATCTTTTTAAAACTTTAGATAAACATTTTCTGCATTTTAAATGCTTTGAAAAAAATCTTCATAATTCCACAGGATTTGGCGGGTGAATATAGTCTTAATTCCCTTAACCATTAATTCTCATGCTTTTGAAAAGACTTTTATGTTGTTTGTATTCTTTTTCATTTTTAAAAGTCTTTTTCTTATGTTGGCATGTGTTTTGCTTTTTAGTATCCCATTCCTGGGTACTATGATTAAGTATTCAGGTAGGTTAAAATATTTGAGCTAAAAACCAAAAACACTACTTTGAAAAGATAATATACACCTCAGTGTTCATAACAGCATTATTTACACTTGGCAAGATATGGAAACAACCTACATGCCTGTCAACAGATGAGTGGATAAAGCAGATGTGATATACATATATATATATATATATATACACACACACGTACATACGTATGTATATATATGTGTACACACACACACACATACACATGATGGAACCCCATTCAGCCATGAAAAAGAACAGATTTTTGCCATTTGCAGCAACATGGATGGACTTGGAGGGCATTTTGTTAAGTAAAATAAGTCATAGAGAGAAAGACAAATACTGTATGATATCACTTACATGTGGAATCTAAAAATAAACAACCAACTAGTGAATATAACAAAAAAGAAGCAGATGCACAGATACAGGGAACAAGCTAGTGGTTTCCAATTGGGGGCTGGTGGGGGTGGAGAGGCAATATGGATGGAAGAGGAATGAAAGAGACAGACTGTTGGGTGTCAGATAGGATCAAGGATGTAGCATACAAAATGGGGAATATAGCCAGTATTTAGATGGAAAGTAACCTTTAAAAGTTGTATAAAAATTTAAAAAAATTGAGCAATTATCCATTATCAAACAGACATCTCCATATTTCTGTGTGGAATCTAGTGGTTAAGGAATTCTTTTCTTAAAGAAATATTCTCCCCCAGATTAAGTTGGTACCATATACTTTAATATCATTAAGTATTATTTCTCAAGATATTTTTCCTTAGTAGTTGAAAGGTAACCGTGATCTCATAGCTCTTTCTCCTTGCTACTGTTTCCTTTTATCCTATGAGACATGTGTGTGTGTTGGTTTTTTTTTAATTTCTGTCGTATTTTATTTATTTAAAAATTTATTTTAATTGGAGGATAATTACTTTAGAATATTGTAATGGTTTTTGCCATATATCGACATGTTTGTACATTACTTTTATTTCAATTGTACATTGTCCTCCTGAGTGATACAGTTGAGGACAGTTGCCAGACTTGAAATCTCATGCACTCTGTGAGCATAATAAATATTAATTTAATAATAATGCTAGCTTACTTTACAAAAAACTTTTTAAGAATAGTGGTAGTGTACCAGTAATATGATAATTAGTATTTAGCATTCTGTACTCAGTGGACTAGTCTCTTTTCCACTTCTGAACTTTTTGTTTCCTTTTCCATTTCCAGGTTGCCATCACGAAAGCCAAGGTGGATTTCTCCAGTGTAGTGTGCCTGCCCCCTTCCGTCATTGCTGTGAATGGGCTGGACGGAGGAGGGGCCGGCGAAAATGATGATGAGCCCGTTCTGGTGTCCCTGTCCGCGGCTCCCAGCCCCCAGAGCGAGGCTGTTGCCAATGAACTGCAGGAGCTCTCCTTGCAGCCCGAGCTGACCCTCGGCCTCCACCCCGCCAGAAATCCCAGTTTGCCTCCACTTAGTGAGCGGAAGAATGGTGAGTAGATACAAAATTATTGAATTGCATGATTGGAATGAAGATCTTCATGTTCATAATGTCATAGGTCCTTTATTTTATGTCTCTTGGAAGTTTCTTATAATCTTACTTTTTTTATAAAATGGAGAAATAAGAAGTTTAGATGATCATTGTAAACCCAGCATTTCCTGCCTGGATTACCATAATTATGTTCTATTTTTTTCCTACTTCTTTGCTTCTCCTTATGTAGTAATATTTCTCATTTTTAAAACCCATACACACATTTATGTAATACTTATATTAATTGGGGAGACAAATTGTTTTGGCTAATTTTGTCCTTTTAATTTTCCATAATTTTAGAATCAGCTTGTGAAGTTCTATAAGAAAATTCATTGGGATTTTTTCCTCCAAATGAAAAATTTCAAACATATGATGAAGTAGAGAGCTTTACAATGCACACCTTTATATCCATCACTCAGATTCTGCCATTAACATTTTATAATATTTTCTTTATAATAGATCTATCCCTCTGTGCATCAATCCACCTTATTTTTTGGATGCATTTCAAAGTAAATTGCAGACATTTCCATTTTATCAAAGTGTAACATTGATACAGAATAACACACAAATTGTAAGCATTGTGGTGGTTGAATTATCGTAAAGTGAATGTACTTGTGCATAATTACTACTGAAGGAAGAAATAAAACATTTCCAGCACCCCAGAACCACCCCTGGTGCTTCTTCCCAGTCAGTGTTCTCTCTTCCTGCCCAGGAGGAGTACCGTCCTGAATTTGAATGAACGTAATAGGTCAGCTGACAGGTCAGCATTGTTTGCTTCTAAACTTGGGGCTCCCCTGGTGGCTCAGACGCTGAAGAATCCACCTGCAGTGTAGGAGACCTGGGCTCGACCCCTGGGTCAGGGCGATCCCCTGGAGAAGGGAATGGATATCCACTCCAGTATTTGGCTGGAGAATCCCATAAACAGAGAAGCCTGACGGGGTCACAAAGAGTTGGACACAACTGAGCAACAGCACACACGCAAACTTGATGTGAATCGGTGTTCCTTTGGTGGCTTCTTTTATGTTTTTGAAATTTATTTTTGTTGAATCGTGTGTGGCTATAGTTTATTTTCATTGCTGTATAAACCATTTCATGATTGTAATTTGTCCGTTTTTACTTTTGATGGATATTTGGTTTGTTTTAGTTTGAGGCTGTTACGAATCATGCTGCTGTGGAGTTCTTGTACATATCTTTGGGTCCACTTGTTGGGATTTTGATTTTAAGGGGGGGAAATATACATTGTAAATGTTGGGTCTTCCTGTCCATTTAGTTAGCTTTATTTCTCTGATTAAATAAGCCTTCTTTAATAGAAACCCACTGATTTTATAATTTTTTTTCCCACAAAGATCGTGCAAATATTTCATTAGGTTTGTTCCCTCATGTCTTTTTCTTGGGCAGACATTATAAGTGGTATATTTGTATAAAATACGTTTTGACTGTTTGATAGTTGTACCAAATACCAAACCTTTTTGAAACTCCTCTGACTTTTCTACATCCATGGCCTCCATTTCCACCCCCTCTACCCTCTGCTGCTTTCTTGCTAACTCTTACTTGTCCTTCAGGATTCTGTTCAGACGTGGCTCCGTTTGAGAAGCCTGCCCTCACTCATATCCAGTGGTAGGTGTCCCTCTTTGTGTTTGCCCCGTTGCCCTTTGTCATCGTAGTTCTTCATCTCCCTGTTGGTAATTGTCATTCTCCACTCAGTAGACCTTCAACTGAGTCTGAAGTCAGACATTGTTACACTCCTCTCAGAACCCTTCAGTGTCTTGCCATGAGACTTATGATAAAATCATAGTTCTTAAGACGTGGTCCTGGTATCACCTCTGACCTGATTTCTCACCTCCATTCCCCAGCTCACTCTGTTCCAGCCATGCTTTCCTGCTGTTTCTTGAGTGGGTCAAGTATGCTTCCACCTCAGGGCCTTGACACTTGTCCCGTTACTGAAGTTCCTGCACAAATGTCATTTCTTTGGGAGGCCTTTCCCACCTATCTTATCTAAGATAGTACCTCCTGTTGACTCTCTGTCCTGCTTTGCTTTTCTCTAAGCACTTACTATGACTTGTATGTGTGGATTTGTATGTGTGTGTGTGTATATCTTTATTATCTGTATTCCCCGTCTTTGATAGTATTTACATTTCATGAGGCTAGAAACTTTTTTGTTCATGGTGTATATTCTACTCTTGGTTCACAGTGGGCACCCAATAAATATTTGTTGAATAAATAGGTGAATGGTTTACTTGTTTGTGGCAAGAACTCTGTTTTACATCCATAGTGGGAAATGTAGTGGAAACTCAGGCATTTTTTATTTTGGGAAATAGTGGACACTCAAGCAGTTGTTTGTGTTCTTTTCCCATTTCTAATTTCTACTTATTCCCCCAAGATGGCAGAAAGTTCAGCTTATTTATATGCTAAGGGGAAAGAGTTGGTCCAGAGGGAAAAGTTGGAGACAGAAAAAGAGAAAGGATGACCGATGGAACAAAGTTCTTGGGAGATGCGAAAGGATGGGATCCAAAAGATATTGGCTCTGCCTTGACGTGAGTGGGGACCGGCGTTCCTCTGGGACAGGAGTTCCTCTGGGACAGGAGCAATGGCGGCAAAGGTGACGACAGACAGCAGACAACAGAGCTCTCGTCTTGGGCAGGAAGTGGGGAGATTAGTGCCGACAGCTGTGATGGTCTCAGTGGAGTAGAAGGCAGCGGTTGCTGTTGAGGCAGAGGTGTTGGTGTGTCTTCAGCCTCTCTCTCTCAATTCTTTATCGTATAAATCAGCCGATTCCTGCCCTCACCCCGACCCCTGGCCATTTTGAATAACAGTAATTCCCTTCCCTTTATAGTCAAGCTCCTAAAGGAGGAGTTTACAGTTACTGTCTCCACTTTCCCACCTTCTGGCCTCTGTCCCTGCCTCTCTTCAGAAGCTGCCATTGCCAAAATCATTAGTGTTCTTTTTGTTGTAGATCAGATAGGGGCTCTATTCTGTTTGACTTCAGTGCAGCATTTGGTTGGCCACCGCCCCTCACCCCCGAAACTTTTCCTCCAGTGATGTCTGTGACACTGCTCTTTACTAGTTTTTAAAACTTGATCTTGCTAGTCACTCCTCTGCACAGATCTTTTTACTGTCTTTCTCTGCTTACCTCTTCCTTTCGTGGATCACAGCCTTCTCGTGGTGAAGTGGCTTGCATAACTCAGTGAAGCCATGAGCCGTGCCATGCAAGGCCACACAAAATGTACAGGTCATAGTGAAGAGTTCTGACAAAACACGGTCCACTGGAGGAGGGAATGGCAAACCACGTCAGTGTTCTTGCCGCAAGAACCCCATGGACAATATGAAAAGGCACAAAGTTTATAACACTGGAAGATGAGCCCTGCAGGTTGGAAGGTGTCTAGTATGCTAATAGGGGAGAGCAGAGGGCAATTACTAATAGTTCCAGAAAGAATAATGTGGCTGGGCCAAAGTGGAAATGATGCTCAGTTGTGGATATGTCTGGTGGTGAAAGTAAAAGTCCAATGCTGTAAAGTTCAGTATTGCATAGGAACCTGGAATGTTAGGTCCATGAATCGAGGTGAATTGGATGTGGTAGGTGGGTAGATAGCATCACCGATTCAATGGACATGAATTTGAGCAAGCCCTGGGAGATAGTGAAGGACAGAAGAGCCTGGAGTGCTGTAGTGCATGGGATCACAAAGAGTCAGATGCAACTTACTGACTGAACAACAACATTGACGACTACTCACCTCTTAAATTTTATTACTCTCCGGTGTTCAGCTCTAAAGTTTCCTTACTTCTTACTTGGTATCTTTACCTTGAATGATTTTCCCCAGAACTCTGGCTTTAACCACCATTATATGCCATTGACTCCATATTCTATCTCCAGGCCACATCTCTGTGCTGAGTCCAGACTCTTAGACTTGGTTGCCTTGTGTCTTCACTGGATGTGCTGCAGACTCAATATGCTCAGAGTAAAACTCATCATCTTACTGCTGTTCCTCCTGAATTCTTCACTGTAGGAATTGGGACCACCGTTTACCCAGATGTTCAGAACAGGGAGTTGTTTTGTTTTCTTTCTGAATGAAAATTTAAAGAGTTTCATTTGTTTCATAATCAGATAAAGTATAGGAAAAATGAAAAGAAAAATTCCCTTGTAAATGTGCAGTTCAGTGATAGCCAGTGGGAGCAGTTAGTTTATTTTCTGTCATTTTTTGTTTGTTCATTTGTTTGTTTACTCTTATACATATATACTCTGTATAAATTAGTTTCATGTAATATTTTATGAGATTTTGCTATATCATTCAGCTGTCTTAGAAAACATTTTTCTCTGCTTGATATTTGAATTGTGTATATACAGCATTTAGCCAGTATCCTTTGAAACTCTTGCCTTGGTTTTCTTTTTTTATGTTATAAATAAAACTGCAGTAAACATCTTGGTGTATAAATCTTGGTGCAAGTAACTGTAGGACAAACTTCATGAGTGGATGAAAAGATAAGGACATAAAGAACACTCTGTCCTTCTGATTGCAAAAGTAGCATGTTTGGGTATGAAGTTTTTAATTTTAAAGTCATTATTTCCAAATTGTCCTCCAGAAGTAATTTTTTATTCCATCTTCTTTCTTTCTTCTCTTTCCCCCCAGCCACCGATTTTTGTAAATTTCACAATGGTCATTTCTACTGAATTCATTCTTTTCTTACAGTCTCTATGGCTGACACTTAGTTCAAACTCTTAATAATGTCACATTTGGATTACTCCAAGAATGGCCTTCTAACTCATGTCTCCTTGTTTTAGATCTTGTCCCTGTGGCCCCTGGGATGATCTTTCTAAGCCATAAATGAGGTTGATGCTCTCCTTCATGAAATCCCTTAGCAGATCCCAATTCTTCCCCTTGTTCTCATCCTGGAAGACCTTCACAGTCAGCTTCTGCCCCTCCCCTCATCTCTTCCTGCTCACTATAAAATATTTAGGTTTTCCC